AACTTCCGGTTATAATTTTTTTTGGCCTATCTTGGATTTGGAATCTCCATAGTCGATTTAGTAAGAATGTGAAATAAAATTTGAGTTTAGTCAATTCGCCAGTTTTTTCTACAAAATTCCCTGTCTATAGGAGGTGGTGGACATTATGAAGTTTGGATAAAGAGAGAAGAGTGCGAAAAATGAAGGAAACACAATGGGTAGGGTAACGGTAAAGGGGAGGAGGCCTAATGGAGGCCTGTGCTGATGATACAGAAGGAGGCCTACATGTGTATAAAGGGTCATAGATGAGACACCAAATGGCAGAACATAGTATCAGCTAGAAAATTATGATAGTTACGCAAATTGACAGTGGTTGTGGCCAGTGATGGCTACGGCTGGGACAGGTGTAGGGGAAAGCAACTGAACAAGAAAGGTGTGTAAGAATAAATGAAAAAATGGTCAAGTTCAGCTTCATTGTTGCCCTGTTGATCTGTAAGCTCATTTTGTGCAATTTGAAGTTCCATAATATTGGTTTTGCCTCTCTCTTGCTCTTTGCCGATCAAAGTTTCACCGAGGGCAATGTGGCATTGCTCAAGGCTGGGGAGTACAAAGTTACCAAATTAACCCAAAGAAAAGAAGGTATGGTAGGTAACTGCTGAAATCAATATGACTGACATTGAGCATGATGCATGAGCAACATGTAATTTAATTTGGATATAGGATACAATTATTGTAGTATGAGAATTTTCAAGAATTTTAAAACTAAAGATACTAAAATGCCAGTCTTAAGGGCTTTCTAAAGTTTAAAATAATATATTAGAGGCGGTTTTATAATCTTGTTTTTCTTAATTTTGGTTAATAAAAATATATTTTGGACTTTCTAAAAATGGAGAGGTAAAGGTACCATTCAATTTTCATTTTCATTTAATTTCATTTTATCATCAATCACCCCTAAATTCAAGACACGATTCACAATACAGACAATACAGACAAAACTCTTTAATACCTTTCGTGATGTGAGAGTAACAAAATAATTCATCTGTAAATTTGTAATTGTAAATTTGCACAGATTGGCCTAAATTATTAAAAACACTTTAGGGGGTATAGTTTTGAATTCGATAATATTGCTATTAATGAATATATTTTGTAGGTTTGTAAGGTGAGACCTTTCAGCCAGGGCCCTGTTTGTTTAATAATTAAGTGCATAAGACTTTTTGCAGATTGTCAGCAACTTTGAGGTAGACCATTGAAAAGGAAATAGGTTTCAATGCCACACCCAAACAATGCTTTTATTTGGTTTCTTAGCTAGTTTCCATAGCTTCAGGAAATTGTCACTTAGCAATTTATTTGCCAAATATATATTTACTTATCAAAAATTACAAAAAGAATATACATTAGCATGAAAATCAGGAAAACAGAACACAATTTTTCGCAAGAATTTTCCTAAGTTTATTGTACCTCAGTAAATAAAGAATGCAAAAAGAATACAGACTGAAAATCCCAAAATGAGGCCCAAAAAGTCCCAAAATGAAATTGACATTATAAAAAAGCTAATAGTTTGTTAAATGTGTAAAGGTTAAACTATTTTCAACATCTCATGAATTAAAAAATCCTTCGTTTCCAATAAAGAAATCCTTTTGTTTGCACTGTTGCAAAACAATGGTACTCCTATAAGCATAGGTTCCAAATCTTTGATTGGTTTAGCGACCAAAATTCTGCATACCCTATTAGCCAATTAGAATTCAAAAATATGACAACAAAAGTGCCTCACAGCTAAATTTAGGCCAATTTTGGACGTTTTTACCACCACCCGCTAAAAATAATGGATTGAAATGTACTGAGAGATAACCTAGATTTTCTTTTAAAAATTGAATCTTTGATGAATTTTCGAAAAAACTGCCGTTGTACTCAGCAAAAGTTTTTCGGAAAAGCCTAGCTAGGCTCAATCGTTAGTTACGAAGGCTTGAAACTGGATAAATAGGGGGGAGGGAAAAATTACAGTTTTCAAACCTTAAAAGTTGGTTTGTCCATGTAAATAACAAATATGAACTTACCTTTACAAGCCACTGTTAAAATCTTTCCTTGTCCGCATTGATGTTTGTGTTATCGACAAAAGAAATCTCTAAATTGCACTGAGAGAAAATGCAGTCCACATTTCTCTTAAAATAACTACAATTGTACAAATTTCTTTTGTGCTCAGGTACTTTGAATATTCATTTTAACGGCCTGAAGATTGATGAGAATCTCACTGACACAATTCGTCAAGAATGAAAAGGGAATGCAAATGAAATGTGCATGCTATTCCTATATAGTTCTCTCCTTCCTATGGCACTGAAGATACTATTGAAGCCTGCTCCCTTTGCCCCTTGGTTGTTGCGGCAACAGGCAAGGAGGGCGTTACGCAGGGTAAAATAAGTGTCATTCCTGTTTTCTTTTTCTCTCTTCTTTGGTAATTAGTTCATTGTAGAATTTATATCATTAACTGATGGCCAAAATTGTCGACAGGTTTATCGACTTTGCCGTTCATTGTTGAAATGTTTAAGACAGTGAAGAAGTCACAAAAAAGTTACTGAGCATCCATGGCCAAATTGCCGGTGTCATATGCGTTTCTGCATGGGCTGAGACACATATGCGTTTCAAATATTAAAGTGTAATGGCGGACATGGAGGGCCTAGCTGTGGGGTACACAACGCGCACATCCAATATAAACAATACAAAACGAAATCAAAGTTCTAGAAATTAACAAAATATCAAATACTCAAATAAATAAACCTCTTGACATGATAAACTCAGAAAACGAAATTACAATCATGCTATTGATAAGATGAACAACTACCATCCGCGTAGCCCATGCAGAAACGCATAGAGAATTTCAGTGTTATGCGTTTCTGCATGGGGCATCTAAAATCAAAACACCATAGATTTTCATCGCAA